ACGGGCGTACAATGCATATATATAATAAGTGTCCGTCACACTGTCAATTCCCCCCGGACGATTAATTGTCGAATTTCATAATCACAAAGGGTGAGAACACTACCTCTACTCTTTTAGATATCACCGTTTCTTTACATGCGAAAAGATCCACTACAAGATACCCGAAAAAAGCTTTATAAACGACGCAAACTCACAAAGGATGACATATGTTTATGTTCAACCCAGGTGGCAACTTGATCTAACAGGGGAAATCCCGCGCGCCCGATCATGCATAGCCTGCCCCCCCGACAACAGCACGGCGCGCGCCGGACACGCCCATCTTCGTACAGAAGAGGCTCTGCCCGGGCCGCGCGGCCGTGCAGTTTTAACGAACGAATTTTTAGACCTAAAAGAGCGCCAGATTGCCGCCCGAATGCGAGAAGACACCGATTGTATTCAAGCCCTTGACTTTGAAAGATACAGAAGAACGGTCCCTCGACCACGAGTCGGCCAAGGTTGGCTGAAGTTCGGGATTAGTCTGACCAAATGTAGACCACTCCTACCTTTCTTTACGAATCGTCTCGATCCAATATGAGTTGAATTTGTGTGAATTTGGACCCCGAACACAGCTGACCTACACTAGCCAACCACTAGCTAACCATGGACGAATCTAACGATATATAGTTAACGTTATATTCAGACCCGAATATATAAAAAATCTGAAACATTCCGTTGGCGCAGTCTCCCAGTAGCCAAGCCAACCTCCTCGAACACCAGCTAGCCACAGCCGACCTTGTTCCGACTTTCAACCATGCTTGGGAGGGGGGACATTGTTCGAGGGGGCTTTACTGCCGCAAATGTTCCTCGCAGACTCGACGGCCATGGGCTTCGATTTTACACTCTGCGGTGGCCCCGTTAACGCCAAATAGCGTGGAGGCAGTTGACCAAAAAGCCACTTAGCTTGATCGGTATTAAGAAACCCTATGAGCAAAATGACTCTAGACAAACAAACCCATCGCCGGTCTCCGAGTTTTCCGTGTCCCTGTCTCTGAATTGTCTGCGTTCTTACGTCTTAATTTATCGATGAACCGCTTAAACCAAAAATTGTCTCCAGAAATAAAACATGCCTTATTCCTTCGCAGTACGCGTTACCTGCGCTTACAATGAATTGTTAGGCAACTATACACGGAAGAAGTTTTCCATACCTCCAAGTACAGCTAGGACAAGAAGCCACATCAATACAGACGTCTTCATGATGGCGATTTCTTTCAATCTTCATAAAAAGATTACTTTGCTACCGTCTTCATGTCAACACCGTCTGTGGAATTTGCATGTGTCCAAAGACACTTATAAAGCCAAATCTATTACTTTCAATTCATTAGTTTCCAAACCCGATACGCCCAAGATAACGTCAGGTACAGACCCCCCAGGCTCTTCCAAACGCGTAAAACTAAAACAAAAACGTCATCTAGAAATCTTCTAGTTCTACTGATGTCGCCCGTTTTATTTTTAACGTTATGTTGCGTTAAATAAAGTCAACATTTGTCTTGGACAAGATTAATGATTTTCGACATGATGTTAATGTTAGTTGGCCAGTTTAGAAATGACTGTAGTTGTTGGCTTACTGTTTAAAAGAGTGTCCTCTGGACATTTTAGGTTTCTACTTACTCTCAAGATACAAAAGAAGAAAACCCACAAAATATTTAATTCGAATTCGTGGTTTGCCACATTATAAGACACGTTTGTAGACATTTTGATCTGTATTTTAATTTCTTCTGTTTCAGCATTACATGGAAAAAGTTTAAGATATGGCATGATAAGGTCATGAAAAGATCACATTTCCAAGGTGCAATCCCCCCCCCCTCCAACAAAAAATGATAAAAATGTACAAATCAACTACCCAAGAGTCGCGGTATACCAATTTTTTTGCAGACCATTTCTGATTTTTCTAAGTAAGATCATATAGAAAAGGTTTTAAAGTTATTTAGGGATTTTGAGTAAAGGTCAGTACAGACAACTAGTAAAAGTCAGTACAGACGTAGTACGGACGCCACGGACATGGGCCGGTCTCTAGTTGAGCCGTACGTCGTGAATGTCACATGTTAAGAGGTCAAAAGGGGCAGACTGACATTGGTTCCTCCCAAACGAATAACCTGTTACATGGTACCACAATATATGTAGGCTTGTAGTTAGTCTGGAAGCCAACAATACTGTATTGAAATCCGCCACTGCACTTGTGATATTTGTTGCGTTACATTTCTATATACTGTGTAACAAAACGTATATTTTAACTTTTTTTGGAGGGGGGGGCATCATGGCAACATAGGTTGTAACAATGTTGCCAAGTCTGTGCCGATCACCGGTACCATGTATACCAAATTTTCAAATAGTAGCCACGCATATTACGCCGAAACATCCCAAAATACTTTTAGTGAATCACCAAAGGTTCCTTGGGTCAAAATGTAAACTTTGGGCTTTTCTGTGGGACCTTCAAGAACAATGGAACACCTTAAATAGTGCACATAATTGCTTGCACGTAATACGGCGGTCGTGCTGCGTCCATTGCATGACTGCGTTAATGTGTATTTTTGAAGACGTCATATCGAGCGCTGACTGACGGGCGTACAGTGCATATATAATAAGTGTCCGTCACACTAAGCCGTCCACAGCCGTGTTTAAGTGAAATCACCCAAACCGCGATTCGGGTAACTCACATTCCTCACATCTGGTGAAACCGTGTCCGATCACAATTTGCTTGAGCTACATTTATTGCTGTTTGATGATAACACACAAGGTGTCGTGTTATTAATGTCAGCGGTCAACGACCTGCTTGCTGATGCCCCCCTCCCAGCGTATCTCGGCCGAATGCCAACGTGGTCCCGCCAGAGGCGGTGAAGCTCGCCCTAGAACGGACACATTATTTGACCATTACTGCTCTTTAAGTTGCTGCCACGGAAAAGATGGTATTGTATATAAATAAAGAAATATCACCCCGTAATCCATGACCAGGCGAAGTTACATTGAAATCACATTGCGTTCAGACGCAAATCGCGATGCGGGGAAACCGATTCGAAACCACCTCTAGAAGTGGCTTGGGATCGAGGCGCTTTCAATGTGATTTCGGAGCGTTCACATGGAGCCACTTGAAACCGGCTTCGGGGTAAACCACATGTAAACCGCCTTGGGTGATTTCACTTAAACACGGCTTAAGTCGGAGTAATTGTCAATGAGTAGTGATGTTAAGCCCTAACAGTAGCTAGCCTGATATCCAATCTCATCGTGCTTGGCGGGGCGGGTTTTCCTCGGGGCTGCAGGAGCCCATTTCCCGCCCGCCTCAGCTAGGTTTCCCGCTAGGTATTTGGCCGTGTCTATACGGAATCACCCAAACCGCGATTCGGGTAACTCACATTCCTCACATCTGGTCCACGTGCCACACACACCTGCGAAACCGTGTCCGAACATAATGCGCTTGAGCTACATTTATTGCTGTTTGATGATAACACACAAGGTGTCGTGTTATTAATGTCAGAGACTCAGAGGTCAACGACCTGCTTGCTGATGCCCCCCTCCCAGCGTATCTCGGCCGAATGCCGACGTGGTCCCGCCAGAGGCGGTGAAGCTCGCCCTAGAACGGACACATTATTTGACCATTACTGCTCTTTAAGTTGCTGCCACGTAAAAGTTGGTATTGCATGTAAAAAAAGAAATATCACTCCGTAATCCATGACCAGGCGAAGTCGCATTGAAATCACATTGCGTTCAGACGCAAATCGCGATGCGGGGAAACCGATTCGAAACCACCTCTAGAAGTGGCTTGGGATCGAGGAGCTTTCAATGTGATTTCGGAGCGTTCAGATGGAGCCACTTGAAACCGGCTTCGGGGTAAACCACATGTAAACCGCCTTGGGTGATTCCGTTTAGACACGGCCTTTCACAATGGGAGATTGATGACGCCCCCCCCCCCCCCGNAGGCGTTCTCGCTACGTACCTCATCCAGCCTTTATGCTGGCTTTGGCTTTATCTTTAGACTTATGTATTAAATTTACCCCATTCGGATGGGAGCAAGTTTTTTTATGAAAAGTAAAATAGAAAATGTCAGAACAGTATCCTATTAAAGGCCCTAAACTTTTTCATACTTCCATGGTTTCATGTCGCAATAACCTTACCAATAACCTTACCATTCTCTCTCCTCTCTTTTTCATCATGAGGTAGTTAAATATAAGAGACGGACACAGAATTTGTGTTTTTCAATTAACCCTTGTCCTGTTGGCAATTTTTGCACAATATTTTCATGTAGTTTGACGTCATAATCAGGTCACAGACCCTTGACTTCTTTTGCCCCGTGGTGACGTTCTGCATTCATTGCGTTTCGCTGCGGTGTGATTCGTTGCACGAGAAGTACCACCAAATTATACATATACAGGACACTATATAGATGGTACTGAATGTGCAACCCATATATATGGGTTATCTGAGTAACATCTGAGTAATCGAAATTACAGAACAGACCTGCTACCTATTATAAATCTCCAGCAGATGTAGGATCTATACTTGTCGCTCAGTCGTAGTGTTGAAAACGTATGCTCTTGAACGTTTTAGTGGCACACATTTTAATTATTCCCCTTCTGTTACAATGAAGACGAATAGTTTGCAAAAAAACACTGTGACTGAGTCAGATCTCACATCTGCTTGGAGATTAGCTATCATCACCATATATCTCGGTAACAATGTTACAAGTCTTAAAATAAAAAGATATGAAAAAGTAGTAATTAATAAAGAACGAAAATCTGTCTAAGAGCGCAAAACTACGCCAGGGACGACGATTCCAGTTATAGCATAGATTACTCTATCAGATTTTCTACAAGCTAAAGCGGGCCTACTAAAAAGGAAAAAAAGGAAAGAAACTTGCAAGATGATAAAAGAAAGAAATCAAGAAAGGAAGATATGAAGACAAGAATGTAAATCTTGATTCACGCTGTTTACAGAGACACTGTAAACACACACTTCCTCACTATCAGATGTTGACAATGTCAATGCGCTATTTGCTCACGGAGCACGCGGGGCGTGGCAGATGAAAGCCTTGGGCTTGTTGCAGCGCGCGGCCCTCCAGCGGTACTGGGCCGCCTGCCGTGCCACGGCGCAGTCCTTCTCCTCCGCGTTGACGGGCGGGTCGGGGAACCAGTCGGTAAAGTCGTTTCCACCCAAGGCCATCCCGTTAGCCCACAGCCAGGTTCCCTCCAGGTCCTCATCACTCAGGCCTATCCACAGACTTGGGGAGTCATCGCTGAAAGGGACAAGTAGAAATCGTGCCTTGTATGAAGTTACTTCTTTATATGTTTTATAGGATCACTTGTTTTAGAACGTTACCATCCCAAAACCTACATTTCTTGCTGATTCACTCACATACTATCGATAAAGTTTCAATAGTTACCAAACAATCATTTCAAGTGTCGCTATTATAAGCTATAGCGCTAGTCTGGCTGTTATGACTGTTACTACTACTACAGTACTACAGTACTACTACTACTACTACTACTACTACTACTACTACTACCACTACTACTACTACTACTACTACTACTACTACTACTACTACTACTAACGTTACTACTACCATGGAGGTAGTTTCTCTTTTACCTCCATGCTACTACTACTACTACTACTACTACTACTACTACTACTACTACTACTACTACTAACCTGATCAGTTTGATTTTGAGTCTAGCGACAGCAGCAGCATCCCTCCACATGTAGATGTCCCCTCCGTCCTGCTGACACACCTGCCTGGCGTCACTGTAGCTCTTAGCGTTCTTCCCGCCCCAGAAGCGGAAACAGCCGTCCCTGTACCTCCTGTATCCATCGGGGCAGTCTGGAGGCAAAACATGGTAAGATTCATTAACAAGTACGTCATTTGGCTTGCTCAGTTTTCTTTTCCACTCACGGGTTGCCTATGTCTGGCCACCCAATTGACTTGTGCCTGCAAAAGAATCTGGCCTTGTCTGTTCCAAATACAAAGAAATAAAGAAACAAACAGACAGACAGACAGACAGACAAAAGCAAATCTGTGCAATGATAGGAATACAGTTTGCCAGTCTCGGTATAGCGACAGTCGCCATAACAGATGAGTAAGAAATTGGCATCTTCAAGAATTAGATGAGTAGCTTTCAGCTGGCATTAATTCTAGATCTGCATGCACTGCATTGGCTTCAAACGCTCACACACATTGCCGCTGTGAAAGGCAGATACATGTAGGCAAATGTTGATATATCGACCAAGCGATCGCGACAGTTTTTCCAGTGTTTAAAAATGCATGAATGTGTTCGTTCTGCGAATTTACGTTGCATGATCTTACCTCGGCACGACTTGTCATCAGAATTGGGATAGTAGCCAGTCACGCACTCACAGTGATATCCTCCAAAGTCGTTCACACACACCGTGTTTTCTCCACAGTCGTCTGTGCCGGCCGCGCACTCGTCAAAATCTTCGCAGAACTGACCTGGAGCACATTTGTATAAAACGTTTAGGAGGGTTCTGCACGTATCAAGCATTTTTAAAACAATGGTACTCTGCTACAGAAAACTCGCTGGAATTCCTACTCGCCTGGAAAATTGTAATTTAAACCCGAAAGGTAAAAAACGAGCTCGAGAAGGAAAAATGAACACAATGTGGCCCATTATTACACACAATAAAAAACAATAGTGCTGGCTGGAGGTAGCAGTATAGCCTGTGTCCAGGGTGCCGTCCTCCGTAGTTTCCGCCGGCTCTGTATCTGTATCTGTATAGACTGTATAACCGCCCTTCGGAGTAACACATCAGCCAAATGTCGCTGGCTACCACCGTGGTAGTTTTGTGCCTCAAGCGACCATGGTCGCCGACCCTCAATATAAGGATGGGACAAGGTGATTCTGACATATCACTGATAAACATGAGGCTGTGACTAAGAGAGAGTGAGATTTTACCTATGTATGCAGGTGGGCAAATGCAAGCCACAACACGCAGATCTCCGTCTTCATCCTCCCCCTCAGCCAGAGTGTCGAAGTCACACACACCGCTGTTCTGACACTTACACAGGTTGACTTGTGGGATGTAGAGCGTGGTCTGACCGCGGGAGTTGGTCGCGATGAAGCTGGGTGTGATATAGGATAGATAAATGATGAGCAAATAGAGATTAGCAATAGAGTCTAGATACATTAACCAAACAATGAAGAAAGCTGTCAGATAACTCTATTTTATCCAACTAGCACAGTTGTTGCATTTGTATTGCATGGTTGGTATAAGTTAAACCTCAATTACAGTGTTAAGTGCGTATGCATCTATCAACATTGACATCTCTGATATTTTCATATTAAAGAATACATTTTAGTGTGACAGCAACTTGTGACAGCCACTCGCAAGAGTATTGCGCGAGTATAATATCATTCGATACGCATCTAACAGCTTAAACATATTATGCTGTTTACCTCATGGCCGGGCCGTCATAGTCGGCGACATTCCATGTGACTGTTGCCCTGCTGCCGTCAAACTCGAAGGTGGCTCCAGGCGGAAGGTTTTCCGCGGCTATAGTGACAGGGTCACCCGCCAGGTCGGTGGCAGTGTAGGAGAAAGTCACGACTTCTCCAACGGTTACGTCAATGCTGAGAGGGCCTTCGATGATCGGAGGAGAATTCACTGAAGCGGAGAAGTGTTCAACAGATTAGACTGCATGACTTAGACTACTCTTAACCTGGGTTCCTGGGAGCGGTTTAAGTCACGAACACTGGTGATTATAATTCATATAATATCATATATTTACAACTCACCAAGCTCTTCACTGATCCTGATGCTTTGATCTCTGGCCTCCATGGTCCCTTTTCCAATCGTGACATTTCTGGTAACGGAGGCATCATACAAGCATTCTCTGTTGTCGCCGCATACCTGCAGAGCCTGTCCACGAAAACAAAATGATTCTGAATATTCAGAATACTGGGTACATAAATCCCGCTCGCAGGTATATCCTACAAACCTACACTCTCTTCTTTCTCATTAATTTGATACTTGGAATACTTTATTAGTTTCCTGGCCTATCAACTGACGGACTATTAAGTAGTTGACGATTTGAGCTAAGAAAAGTAACACGAAAGTCCACATTACTATATCAACGTACGCGCGCGCGTCCTGCGAATATATGTTTTGATCTTTGCAGTTGATATGACTGAACAACCTGCAAAGACCAACCCTCATCTAATTAGAAATTTGTAAAAATGATTTGAAGCCCTCTCCAGCAAGCAAAAATACCCGTTCTAAATACCTAAAATAATGCTGAACCTTAAGATACTAGACATAGCCGTTGATAAGGGTAGAGAAAAAGTCCGGCATACCTCTTCTTCAAGTGCAGGGTCATCAAAGGTTGGCTCAAAGATGGGGACGTAGGACGGGTCCTGGTTGTGGAAGTCGGCGTAAGTCTGGTCTCCGTAGTGGAAGATGCTCTCCTCCTCGGTAATCTCCCCTGTTCAAAATGATAGAAGGACGTTACATCAACAAGTAGCAAAGGCACTGTCACTACTTACACAAGTGTTCATTCATCTACCTTTCGTTATTTGAGTGTCTATTAAAAAGGAGAGGCGATTTATGCCGATCGTTATTCAAACCTTTTTAGCAGACATGACTGTTTCCAGGACCCATCCTTTCTATCATAACATCATTCAGTAAATGTCATGACGGCCGAACTGTACATTTATTTATTACCATTAATCTGTGACTATAAAAAGTTGAAATCATGATTGAGCTCACATAAAAGTCCCCAGTTGTAGATTTCCTGATCAGTGGCGTTGGGACTGAGGACTGTGCCATCCGGGCGGGTGAAGTCATCATTCGGGTCTCCATTCCAAACTCCCATCAGCCCTTTCGTCTGACCCATGTAGTCGTTCGGAAGGTGCATCATCGTAGCAGGAATCCCGGCCTTCTCAAAAACTTCCAGTCTGGCACCTGTGGAGTTCAGATGTAGGGATTCTCATGGTTTACACGTTAACTTGGTCCAAGCACCAATCTCTGTCGTCTTTGAGTGTGCACGTGACTATCTGACATTTGAAACCCTTATTAGGACGCCTCTTCGTACGTTGAATAATAAAAGCAACAAGTAAGATGGGTCTAAACTTTTTAAAGGTGCTTCTTGGAACATTTTCTGTGTTTGTGTGTCGAGACTTTTGATGTCTTTGAACATTTTGACTTGACCTGACTTTTACATATTGGAAGATGCTTCTATATGAAATCGTCAGTGCCAATGCTTCCTATTTCAATCTCGTCCACAATGCAAACAGATTTGTATTCAATAGTTCAGTAACGCTTCAATATTTCCTTATACCATTTACATTTAAAAGATGGGAACAGAAATAACCTGACGAGAACTCGGCCACAACAGATCCGTTCGTTCCTTTGGAGATCATGACGTCAGTAAAAACCAAGAATTGGTCTGCCGCGAGGTCGTTGAACTCCGGGGTGAATACGTCATCAACGAACAGACGAAACTCTGCATTTTCCAAATAAGGACATAAACAAATATGTTTAGTCGGTCTAGGAGAGGGTATCAACAAATGTGCCTTGAAGGTAGTATAAAGGAATAAAGGTTCTAGTCTGTGCAGAGCATAGGGGTGGGGCCAATTTCCATTTCTGTAGCCCTTGGGCCACACAGTTGTGCAAGCATTATAGCAGGGGCCTAGCCTGCTGGTAGTGTTGTGTGTTTGACCTTCCCACACTCTTTCTCACAGATGCTGAGTGCCAAGCAGAGAAAGCAGTATGTACCATTTTTTAAGTCTTTGGTATGGCCCGGCCCGGGTTTGAACTCCCGGTGCTCCCGGTGACAAAGCGAGCTCTCTACCCGATTGAGCTGTTGTACCGGAATAAGTCGTAAGTTTTTTTACGCTTATGAGAGTGCACACGTGGGTCAAATAGGAAATAAGGAACAATATGGTAACTATGGTATGTTCTCTCAAGATCTCCCATACACTATTTGGTTTGAAAAGTCTTACCGCCCTCATCATGATTGACTTGAACAGAAGATGAAGTAGACGTCTTGGCAGCAATGGCGCTGAGGACTGTAGCGTCTGTCTCTAACCCGTCAGAGCCAACAGCCTTTCTTGTCCTGCCTTGGACGAGAAATTCACTCTCCAGTGCCTTAACCAACCAGTACTCTCCAAGACCGTTAAATGTGTATTCTCTGCCGTCAATGGTTGTGAAGTGCGGATCTCCACGGATGAAGATTATCACAATAAAATCTGTAGAGGAAGACATAAAACAACCCCGTTGCTTTCACAGGGATTTTATTCCATTCAAATCACGCGCGAGATAGACGCGAGAAAGCTGCAAAAAGCTTTCAATGTGTGGTACTGATTATTAGGCGCATATTTCAGCAACATGGCAGATCTATAGCTAGCTTGAATTCACCAAATTTCCGAAGAAAGATTTACTGATGAGGCCATATATATTTGATTATATGGATGCCATCCTCGCCAAAACTGATGCAAGCGTGCGAATTAAAAAAAAAGTTTGGCAAAGAAAAGTGGCCTTCATTGTGAAATATGTACGTGGTTAAGAAGGTTTAGCAAATAACTAATTTAAAACCAGAGTATGGTATGGCGAAAAACGGATTCTTCATCACAATTTCTTTACATTGTTTTCTTTGACTTTGCAATTGTTTCTAGTATTTTTTTTTTTTTTTGCAATTTACGGCATATATTTGCCCATTTCAGTATAGCCAAAAACTTTTTTGGAACGGACGAAAATTCATGCGCGGGCGGATGTCATCCATACATTAGTAGTCAAATCATCATGGCCTTACGAGCAAGAAAAAAAAGCAGACGAACTTGGACATCTGATGATGACCCAAAGAGCCCAAATTTCTCTTCCCCGGCACGGAGCTCCACCACACTGCGGCACCGGGTTGTTACAGACACGGCGGAAAAAGCACACCGTGACGCCCCAACGACCGAATTGGAACCTAAACCAACCAACGGTTACGGACCAGCCTCCATTTACTGAAAGAAAGAAGACAAAAATCAGGTTAGCAACAAACAAATTGGAAAAATGCGTATATTAGATGCAGTCAGGTGACGTTACACAGGTACACAAAGTGCAAAACATCAATAAAGCCGATGTATATGGTGGGAATGGGTAATCTCTACGATGAAATTGTTTCTTAACAGAATGATTGAGTAGAAGAATAAATGACGTTTTTTACCTGGCACACAAGGCATGGTAGCTGAAAAAACACATAACGATAGAATCAGAAATGAATTTTAAAAAGTTTGAAACACATTCAAAGGCTGTACAAATGTTTTCCCGGATATTATGTATTTAATAGACGTTAATATGTCAATTGCATCAAAACCTCTGGAGTCATTTAGATCGTTTTCAGGGCGGACAATATGTCGAGTGTATTGCAGACCAGTTCTACTCTTTGAATGACACATCATGACAGATTATAAAAATCAAAAAGCTGCACTTACCCATGACCGTTGGCATGACGGCCGTTTGCATTCCAGATCCTCCATTTGCACTTACTGTTGTTACAGCTGTATATATTGATGCGACCAAAATGTACGTTGTTAGAAGTATGAAATGCAATGGGGGGATTCGTAATCTATTTCGATTTTATCGATATCACATTCTCTTGGAAACAGTGTGTTGTAATGGCGTTTTGTAGTAAAGCTGTAGTAAACTATATGTTGTACTTGGAAACGTTGGTAGAATGCACAGTGCGGTCAAAGTTGCACTGTAAACCATTCAGATATCCATTTTACAATACGTGCTTTTCTGTATATTTTCTCATATCAAACAATATTTGTTTGGCTGTCTTTGAGAATATTCAAACTTATACGTTCTGTATTTTTCTACTACTCGAGGACCATTATACAAACAAGAACGTATAGTAGTAGATGTCGTCTTTTGCAGCACGCGGTATATTCTTATCAAAATTAATACATTGACATACAGTACATGCGTACTGTACATGGGATGAAGTAACTACGAGTAACATTCGTCTGCATAAGTAGGAGAACCAAGGCCGACTAGTGTTGAAGTTGTCTAGATCTTCTTATCATACATCCTAAATTAAGATGAATGTTGTTTGACGTGCAAAATACCCTACTATACGCAAGTGTTATCACACAGGTGTGCATCTCTGCTTTCTAAAAGGTCGTTTGAAATATCACTTCACTTGGTACTCGACCCTTGTAACCTGTTAACGCCTAAAATCCTGCGTTCCGATGCAATCTTACAGATAGCTGTAGTCAGTCTAAGTGGCTGCCTGGAGAGATGCGTGACTCGATGTTTTAAGGAATCCATACCAAGGGCCGACCTCTGATAAACCTATTGTTGTAGCTACCTTCTTATCATACATCCTGACCGTCGTATCATCTATTAAGACAATTGGCTGGATATATGCGTGACTCGATGTTATCAGGTAATCACACCAATCTACTAACGGGTCACGTGGGTCAGATTCAGGGCTTCGGGCCCGTGCGCGCCTCCGCCTGAACAATGATTACAAAATGACACATAATTACTTGTGCGTCACCCGATATTAATCTTCCTTATATGTGTACACATCAGCGAACTTCAAAAGGATAGACGTATGGCATATCTGGTGTCCTTGACAAAATCCTGAGCGTCTAGATCTGATACGTCAGCTGGTGAAATTATCGAATGTCTAAACTACCATACCGGTAGTGAAATATAGTGGCATCATCTCTAGATAGCTTTAAACAATGTTTAGAGTTCGATGTTCATCAAAAGTTAGATGTAACAAGTCGTTTGGTGTAATATAGCCTGTTGTTGCCGCGCCGCGTGCCTGTGAACTGATGTATCATAGTGCGCCGAGGGGCGGTTATATCGGCTATCAAATCAAATCAACTTTATTGCTCAACAACTGTAACTGGTACAATGTATGGCAAAGAGGAAACAACAAGGGTAGATAACTGGTACAAATTTTTGGGATCCGTAAGTGGTGAGTACAGCCTCCGTACGGAATCCAACGGATTCGGGAGCACGCAAACACGCTGTAGCACTTCAAGTGCTAGCCGCTTACTTACGGTTGCCGGCCGCCCAACATCCAGCCGCAGTGCGGGGAGGGGCCATTTAAGCCGCGGACGGCATAGTTTGCGTTACACAGACTATTAAAGTGCATGCAAAATTGTCTCTGCGTTCGGCGCGGATTCACCCCGTACGATACAACACCGTGTATTCCGCATCACCCACGGTCCCAGCCCTCCCGCGGATCGGATCTCCCTCCGGCTTTCGGCCGTCGGGCGTTCCGACCCGCGGTCGGACTGGTACCTCGGGCGATACGGAATACACCATGTAGTATTCTATGTATATCAGAACAATGCAAACCTACTAGAAGCCGGGTTTGAATGGTTTTCGTCGGCAGGGTAGCAAAAACATCGTGGACCGCCTTAGCTTTAGATATGATTTGTTCATTTGGGTATACAAAAACACAGGTCTGTTCTGTTGAACGCTAGCGCTAAACTACAACAACTAGACAATCAAAACCCTACGCTGCCGTCCGAAATTAAGGGTCTGTCGCCCTCTGCTCACAAACATTGCTAATTGAACTTAAGTACTTATCTACAAGCCAACTTTTGAGACAGAAACACCTTGCATATGAGATTTGAGACCCTAGCCCGAGTGCCATTGAATTTGTATATTGAGGCCCCCATCCTGAAATAGTTTCACGGAGTGAGTATGGGGCCCCGATATGACACTTGGGCGAGTTAGATCCTTCGGTGGGCTGGGAATCGGAACAAAAGTAGCGGAAATTAAATCGGCTCAAAATCAGCCACAGATGATCTTATTTAATGAATGCAGTAATATTTGCGTCGATACTAATGCTATTAACATAACTTCAAATTGTGCATCATATTACTAGTAATTAGACGTACGGTCCCTACCTCCAAGGGCAGCAAGGAGAACAACCCACGCCCAGACAGACGTCTTCAGCATTGCGACTTATCCGAAGTTCGTTTTTTTTTCTTCTCAAGAATGTTTCACCGTCTTCAGTCCAACGCGTCAAAATGAGTTCAAGGCTCCGCATGGACTTTATAAATAGACAGCCCTTCTAACCCAACCCAAACCAGTTTTTAAATGTCATGACACAGAGAGCCCTTTTATAGGCGTTTCCCTGTTGTCGCAAGATTCACTTTTTGTGTTTTCCTTTTTTCTTTTTGCATACGCATACGCTCCCTTGTTTTACCGCAGTGTTTTACGGATTTTACTAGGCTAGGCGACGTCACGTTATGATGTGGTATAATCTTCTTCCTCAATTTGTCATCGAATATACAACAAAAGGGCAATTAAGTGTATTTTGTGTATTTTATCTTTCAATTGATACATTTACATCTTTAATCATATCCAAACTTATGAGGTTACCGATTATACAAGTCAAACAAATGGTAAAACAAATCTAATTTTTGACGCTCGGCTGCCTGCATTTAATGCCGTGGAAAAGGCGCCAAACTAGAAGAGAAGACCCGGCATTTTGAGCGCGTACGTTCTAGATTCTGTTCTTGTAGTTGCCTTCTTGTCATACATCGTAAATTAAGATGGATGTCGTTTGACGTGCTATAACGCACGTATGTGTTATCATACACAGGTGTGCATCTTTGATCCTGAAAGGTCGTTTTAACACCGCTTCACTTGGCATGAGACCCTTGTAACCTGTTAACGCCTACAAACAAGGGCTCCTTTAATCTCGGTACGTGCGTATACGCTTTACGATAAATTTCGGGTAGCTACAACGCATTACGTAAAATAAAACGGCGAATTACACTCTACGCAAAATGCGCCAATTAGCTCTACGTCGAATTAAAACTGCCGATTACGCTTTACGCAAAAGAGCACGCGGGACCCCTTCAAGGTCGTTCGCGCGTCCGCTTAAAACACAAAATACTCGCGCGTCACTCGACATTCATCCTCGTCATGATAACGAACTTTCGTGCGTTCGAATTCGGTGCATTGACGAACATCAAGCCCAGAAACATGCAGGCCATTGTGTTTTTGCTGGCAAAGTTATAACATCAAATTGTCTAAACCAGTGGAATTTAAATGCTCGAATCTCCATGGATAACTACCCCGCTCTGCGTATACTACTAGTATAGTTTTTGACGATGATATATGAATGTGATAATATAGTTCCTTTTTTCCCCTTTTTTCGGGCATATTACAGTAATACTTAGTACTACATGTATGTAACAGGTCTAGGGTCCAGGTCTACAGTTGACCGCATTGTGTACAGATTATCTGAACAGTGTCGTGGTTTGAGAGTGACTGGGCTTGCCGCAGCGGAACCGAGTGCTGAAAAAGATAGCCTGGCCTCTGCTGAACTGTTGAACAGATTTGGCATGCGTGGATGGCAATTAAATAAAATAACGTTTTACACGTTGGTTTGGCTATGCTGGGAGGGGCAATCTAACGACAACGCACAAGCGTAATGTTCATGCCTACCTGGCGTTGAAAGAAATGCGGGAAAAAGTGAGTCATCGGATCATAACTGTTGGCGTGCGGATAATCACCATAGGTCTAATGACGTATCAATCAGGAGGTTCGTATCAATGTTGTTCAATATGTAGAGTCGCGATGTAGCGGTAACGTTATTTGTCAAGTTAATTAAGAATTGATCACAATGACGAAAATTTGAATTTCGCGCCATTTTTTGCCGCGCTCCCATCAAATCACAATCCAACTAGGTGACGTCAGGGCGTTGGTTTCCTCAAACGTCGCACGGACACCCTGTCTTTCCGTCAAAAATTGACGCCTGTGGTCGGTAAGAACTGACTCAAACCCCTCATAATCTCTCAACAACATATTCATCTCTCTCTATGTAGTAAATATGACCTGTCGTGACGAGATCTGAGCGAGACTGAAGCCACAGAATGGCTAATTACCTCAATGTTAGACATTTTTTCTCGGTGTAAACCAGGAACATGTATATTGTACAAGAGGCTATTGTGATTCGTTGCGGACCTGTTTTATACATGTTGCCGGGCCGAGTGGAGATTTTCCGGCCCATCGTGCTCAGCCCTGGTGCATGGCGGTCCTGGAGCGGACTCAGGTTTGAATCCCAGCGTTCATTGAGGCCATTTTCCTTCCCACACAGCCTCGAGAGCCCCAAAGACTGGTCGGGAAGGCTACTGGGGACCTACCGGGCGAGAAAAACGCAGTGGAGGGCGCTGGGAGGCATTTTGGCGCAGTTTTCTCACCAGACAATTTGCTGGTGATGGAAATGGGTTACAAAATGGCGCTAGGTCGTTGTTGGCCGCTCAGACGGCTTTATCTTCGATGTGTAGACGCCAAAAGGGAGAAAATATCCGCCTCCCCCACCCTCTCCTGACTCGCCTGGTTCCCCCGACCTTCCCTACCAGTCAGGCACCCGAGAAGACCGTGTGAAGATGCATTTTGTAGTTGACTTTGACCGTTCTTTGTCACATTTTCTCATTCGTCTCACGTCTGTAGTGAGAAAACTGATGTTTGGTTCGCCATAGTCTAGTTTTGGGGGAGGGGGCATCTGGCGTAGGTGCGAATCGCAAAAAGTACATCCTTATGGGGGAGGGGGCTGCAACAGATTTTCCCGTCTCATAGTATCTATACATGCTGATAAAATTCTGTGATTCTGTACTTCAAAGTGAAGTTCAATCCAGATTATTAACAGAATCCATATGTTTGCACATGATGTGATCATGATTTTTCACTCCATGATGTGATCAAGACAGTGTTGCATGAGAGACCTAACGTCTCAGACTCAGAGACAATTTTTTGTGTGAAGAGTAAAATAAAGAGTGTAAAGGAAAGTAAAAATGTTGATGCCATACATGTTTACCTGGGTTTACAGTTTCCACAAGTTAACATAGTGTTGGATGGACCAGTCACATTTTGGTCCAGGAAGGAAAATAAGTCGTTGATCTTATCATGCTGCTTTATGTATAGGCCAAAATCATATAATTTGCCTTGAGAGTTGATATTGAAGCATTACATATACATGTGTAGCATAGATGTACATACTGGTAGTTTTAGTATGTAGCAGTCCCACAAGCCAGGACTCACGATCCTTCAACAAATTAAAAAAAATAAAAAACTACATGTAACGCTACTGCTACTCCTGAGGCAAAAAATAATACAATATGGAGTAGTATCAAAGATTCAGAACTTGTTCATTGTTGGTAGAAGTCGTGGCAGCTTTGTTTGAAACATCCCCAAGTAATACCAACCAGGCTGGCAAATTGTGAGCTAGGTGGGTAGGGTTGGATTTGCGATTGATCCTATAATGTATAAAAGGCTTAGTAACATTTTGTAATTGCGAAAATGTAGTAGCATTATGGTTAGTCTTTGTTGAAGTGTCATGTGAAATGTATGTGTTGATGTTTATGAAACACATGGAAATATGACTGCAGGAGGTAACGTGATGTTGGTTTACACAAAATACGACGTCACCACTAAACAACTTCTATACACACAAATACACATACACAAATGTGTTATCTCCCAGCAGATGAAGTGTGTAGGGCAATTTGGCATCCGCCTCCCACTACCTGCTTTTCTGTGCTGATGTACATGTAGCAGGACACAGCCAGCTAGGAGGCATGCACCATTAGAAAAAGCACCAACCACAAATGCTTGCAAGTTGGATTCTTACACAAACACATGTACACTAATATTGATAACACACAATACTTGGATCTATGAGTTACAAAGAAACCAGTCTACTACTACATGTTACATGTACTGCTACTCCCGAGGCATGCCTGTACATCTATTTTTTAAGAACTTGAACATATTCACTGGTACTGTATTGATCAATATCTGATATAAATTGTTTTCCACGTAGTGACAAGTGATTCATACAGGGTAGCGAGTGCACTACACTATCGTCAACAACATGGAAGCAGCAACTAGTGACGACAGCCAGCCAAAGGCACTGGATGCTGCCGCTATGGCAACCAACGAGCAGGAAGTGATCGGGATGTTACTGGCCCAGTCAGGGGACGGCACCATGCAGCTACACACAGCTGTAAGGAAGTTAAGAGTCACTGCAACCTTGTCAGAAATGACCATTTATACCAAGAACATAGAGAATTTGATTGACAAGATATAGAACTTCATCATGACATTGTGTGAATGATGATGCATGTACATGTATTGTGTGATCATGACTTGTCATCATTTTTGGGCTATATTTCATCCATTCGAAACTAACATGTATGGTAGTGATTGGAGGACTTTGGAAACAAGTTGGAACAAAAAGAGGAAGAAAAAAGCTACTACAAGACTCGTAGCATTTTGAATCAAACTTCCAAAACACCTTTCACACATTCAGGACCTTCCCATGACTTGGGTTGGGGGTAGCCTGGAGTTCATCCTATTCTAGCTCCAGTTCACTTTTCTGATGTCATTCAACTTAATTCAATAAGCTTAATTCACTGTCACTCAAATTCAATATGACTTTCCTGACTTGTGGATTTTTTTTCCAGAATGGTGGCACAGAAGACCACCAGATAGCTGTCTCCCTGGCAGAGGGTGTATCTACAGGTATGGAGGGGGCTAGGGTATACTATGCTAGTCTTTAGTCATTAGGTACACACATGCATATTGTGCTCCATATTGCTTGACAGTGTCATGTTGGAACTAAACTTGTTTTCATGACATTGTGATTTCATCTATACCATTTTTTTTAGTTGCTTATCAAGTCACAAGTCTGTATTTCACCAACACTTTGCAATGAATTTAACTCACACAATTATTTCAAACAAGTCACATTTTTAGTAAATAAAACTATCAAAAGCAGGTTTGTTTTCTTCATGCATATTTTGGAGCAAATTTCACATTGCATACACACTGCATGCATGGAGGATATGTCAACTTTCTTTTTTTTTTTATTTCTACCCTATGGTTTTGTTAGAGCCATCAGTCACCAAATAATAGTACTATTGTTTTAAACCATTTTGTTGCAGGTTGGTATAATGCATGTTTCATGTCCATTATTACATGTATGCACAAACATTTGCTGTCCAGGAATAATGCATGTTGTGGGTCAAAGGTCATGTGAAGGTAAGGACGTCACCATGGTTACCAGTGCGCCATATTTAGTAAACGGTTTGTCTTGCTGTTGTCCTAACGGTCAGCCCGTGCAGACCTCGGACATATGTATCTGTCCTCAGATGGCAAGACGCTGCACATGGTGGACGGTCAGTCACTCCAGGCAGTAACACTGGCCGACGGGACAACTGCGTACATTCAGCACAACCCAACTAAAGGTATGTGTGTGCATTTTTTTGTAGTAAGAGAACAGAATGTGGCTCTAGGCTTTTTCTGATTAAATTTAATTTAAGATAACCTGCATTTACAATATGCAGTTCATTTATGTCAGTCATGTTCAATTTATGCACTTGGAACATTAGTAGGAAACACAATGTGCAGCAATATAAGTTTTGTACTACATGTACTTGTGATTAGGATTAATGGTATGTGTATTCTGCATAATTCATTTATTGTCTTCTTTCTATTGTCTTCACATGTATCCATGTATGAATGAGTTTGTAGCTTTTGTTTTACTGGGGAATTTGGAGTACAGGATTCTTTATTGTGTACAGTATAGTTTACTTGTTGTCGCCTTTGACGGGACCTTTTCAACTTGTAACATTTGCTGTGGTTTCACAGATGGGAAACTGGTAGAAGGCCAAGCTATTCAGCTGGAGGATGGTACAACAGCTTATGTACAGGCTGTTCCAGCAGATACAACAACCATGAAAGGTTAGCTGTTACCTTTCAAAATTCATATACTAGTATGGTAATTAATTAGGTGTTACTGTAATACCGTTAAAGATACTACAAATGTAGTATGTTGAATACATTGGCCAAAGAATTCATAGTGAAGTCATGGCTTTCTAAAGACTGCTTTCGGAGTTTAAAATGCATTGAATTTGTTATGTATGAAACTAATTCTTACTTACCCTCTTCGCAAAGAGTAAAATATTGTTCTGTCTGCTGTATTGTACTGCAGTTACCATGTGTTCTGATAGAGGGCGCTACCATTACTGCTATCTCTGGTTGCATTGCCTGTGTTGGAGCTAACAGCAAATGATTTTCTTTGTCATTATCAGCTAAAAGTTTTAAGGGACAAATGTGCCTATTTCTTTAGAAACTATGAGTGAAGAAAGACTTTTGAATTCTTAGAGCTTGTTTTGTGAATTTGTAGGAAAAGGATTTCATATAACCATTGTTTTTTTCTCAACAGAGCCTGACCCCACAGGTTTCCAGATGTCGGATGGACAGGCAGTACAGTTAGAGGATGGCACCACAGCGTACATCCACCACGCACCTAAAGGTACTCCTTCAACACATACCGGTAGTGCTCATACTAGATAGGAAGCAATATGACAAATTCTTACTGATATGTACATGTACAGGCAGTCATTTGGAATGTAGGAGTGAGTGTAAAAGTTGTAGTGATCCCATTGTGTGTTTTTCCCGTCAGGTTTTGAGGGTACCACAGTGCAGGCAGTACAGCTGGAGGATGGCACCACAGCGTACATCCACACACCTTCTACTGTGCTACAGCATGGGGAGGGAGGTAAGACAGAAATTCTCCAGTCTTATTTTGCTGCATGTGAACATGGAGCATACTGTTTGAAACTATCATGTGAAATAAAGAGCAAGCGTTAATCCAATTTTACATGTATATGCATGTATTTGGGGCATATTTTAGCTCTTATGTGTATGTCCATGTTACTCCTTAAATATATAAAAAAAACTTGCATCTCTCTCACTCTGCAGTGTTGCATGCTGGGGACGCAGGTCTGGACAACCTGCCAGGCAGTTCTGACGAGGGCGTTGACCCCACCTCCATCAGTGCACTGGAACAGTACGCATCACAGGCAGGTGTCTTTCCTCTGTGGCTTCTACATGGGCACAAGTTTTGTTTGTTTTGACCCAACAGATCTTTGAACTACTACTGAATTCTGTCCTCTTGTCATCACCACATGAAATGTAACATGTTTTGGTTTTGTGTTTACTGAGCCCGCTAAAAATTGGTAACCAAACAGCTACTTCAGTGCGCTAAATTAAAGGTTGAACAGAGATGTGGTTATGTTAAAGAAGTTACAAATAGGATATTGTTCGTGATATGGAAAAGCATACATTTAGCAACATCATCAATAACCAATATTAACTTATGTAATCAAGCACTGTACTTTTTGAGCCAATCAACTCTGTGATCATTAGGTGAGCGGAGGGGATCAGACCGTCAGCCAATCAGACGGTGCGGTAACATCCACCACCATCACCACCCTCCCCCATGATGACGGGTCCTCCATGGTGCCCACCCCTACTACTACCTCAGCCGCCGCCCTGCTGCCTGATCAGACTCACATCACGTTTGAAAAAGCCAGGGTGAGTTTTGAGAGCATGTCTTGTCATGCATGCTTTCAATGTGACTGCAAAACTTTAATTAGAACAAGACTAAAAGCCCAAGTCCTTGGTAGATGTGAGAAAAAGTAATCATTTCCAATATGATAGTTAACATTTGTCCAGTTGTTATCATTCTAGTGTAGCGTGTAGTGCGCATAGTCCAGTGGTTATAGGGACATTGTTCCTGTCCAGACTAAGAGGTTTGGAGTTTAATTCTCGACAGTTGTTGCTCACTTGACATGCTCGTTACTGGAAATAGTCACAGTCCCCAGGACGTGGCTCGCTGTTCATTGTGCTTATTGAAAAGAGCAACATGCAGGGGAACTTTCCCAGTACAATGAACCTGTAAATACTATACATACTTGAGCATCTGTCATGACCATAGATAAGGTCTTGAGTGAGCTTAACTTTCTTCATTTATAATTGTACCTCTCTTAAATTACTCTTGTTATCCGCATGTTCCCAGATCCTACAGATCACCCAGTCTCCAGGCCCCAGGACCAGCATGAAGGCTGCCCAGCTGGGTGAGAAGGCGTTCCGCTGTGAGTTTGAGGGATGTGGCAGACTCTACACCACCGCACACCATCTCAAGGTAGGAGAACCTCTGCATGTTCTGTAGGTAAAACAGCTAGTGTCATCATTTGAAGAAAGGTGTACTAGTACATGTGTACAAGATGGATGTTGGGTATCATGCGTGTTATCTACATTCGTGTCATTTTTGTTTTGTTTTGTTAGTGTTTTCATAAACATACATGTACATTGTGTATAAAGAACAGTTCATCCTACATTTGTATACTAGTATGTAGTAATTGTAGTGAGCATGAAAATTGTAAAACCAATTGCAGCATATATGTAGAGAATTTGAACTCTCTCTTGATTAATTTTCACCATTAGATTTGTGAACTTTTTATCCCTTTTGTAAATGAAAAAGAACTGCACTGTAGCAATAGTTTGTGGTTGCTTCCCTCCCCAGGTCCACGAGAGAGCCCATACTGGAGACCGTCCCTACAAGTGTGAACACCAGGGCTGTGATAAGGCCTTCGCTACCGGCTACGGTCTGAAGAGCCACACCAGAACACACACAGGGGAGAAACCATACAAATGCCCCGAGGAAACCTGCACCAAAGCCTTTAAGACATCAGGGGATCTTCAGAAACACGTACGAACACACACAGGTACAAATTTATTATCTCTGGGTATTGATGTATTTTGTTTTGGTGTGGTTGTTTGTTTGTGACGGTTTGCTTGTGTGTCTGAAGATATTTGAATTCAGTAGAGTACCAGCAATGGATTGGAAGATTTTGTAACTACAGATTGACAGGAAGGTCAGGTTTGACTAGTTATGGCAGCTCCAATCACAGTCATTGAGGCTTGTCACAACAAATTCCTCAAGTCAGACCATCTCAATAAATACACAGAAATTCTAGATACTTCCCAGACAAAAGTTAGAGATCTGATTTTTTCTCGTTTTGTTAGACTGGTGGTTGAATGTAAAAGCTTTTAAGTTTGATAAAACTTCATTGTTTTTTTTCTTTTTCATGAACCCTCAGGTGAACGGCCGTTCAAGTGTCCGTTTGAGGGCTGTGACCGTTCCTTCACCACGTCCAACATCCGTAAGGTCCACATCCGTACACACACCGGGGAACGGCCCTACATCTGTAACATAGAGGGCTGTGGCAGGTCCTTCGCTTCCGCAACTAATTTCAAGAACCATTCCCGCATTCATACAGGTACGTTCGCATTTTTGATGCAACATAGCTCATGACATTGTACAAGCCTGTGTACTTGTGTTAGTTGCTTAAGTTGAAAATGGTCAACAATGTTTCATCCTAACCAAAGTGGAAGATGATGTATTTTCACTCTGCTAAGCAAAGAGTGACATTCACAACATGTACAGTTTTAGAATCCAAGGCTATAAGTGTATTCTGTGTGGATATATATATAAATTATTATAATGTTATGTTGTTTGTTTCTAAATTCTTGGAAATAAACCTTTTACAAGGTGAATCCTTTTGGCTTAAAACCCACAAACCCAGATTTCGTAACTTTTTATTTATTCAAATTTTCATTCACGTAATTTATACAGCTGGCTTATTCACATGTTGTATGTACATTTTACACAGGTGAGAAGCCTTACGTCTGCACGGTACAAGGCTGTGGTAAGCGGTTCACAGAGTACTCCAGTCTGTACAAACACCACGTGGTGCACACCCACTCCAAACCCTACATCTGTAACCACTGTGGGAAGAACTACCGCCAGACCTCCACACTAGCCATGCACAAACGGACCGCTCACGGAGACAACGAAGCCATGGAGGAGGGCGAGGAGTCGGCACAGTTTTACGCAGCACCAGGTAATTTACACACCTTGACAACAGCATGAGTGAGCTAGTGAGAGTTATAAAGTCATGTTCAGCAATGCACATCTGAACTTCTAAAGTCAATTATCTGTAAAAGTAATTTGTTAGGAAGGCAAGTTGTAACAAATTTTTTTTTTCCTTTGAAATAAATCTTCTAAGATACATTAAATTTTGTACATACTACCCCCTCGTCTTTGGGATGCAAAGTAGCAACATTGCTGATAGTTGTACTACTATGCTTTCTTTTAATGCGATGATGGTTGTGAAAGTGATTTTAAAGCTATAAATC